CGAGGCTCCCCTGCGCCCACGGCCACCAAGGGGGCCGCCCGCCGAGCCAACGGTCCCCTTCCCCCCTCCTAGCCCCTGCCACGGTGGCCTGCCTGGGACCCCAGGAGTTGCCTTCCCTCCTCCCCATCCTCTCCCTGACAGAGCAGAAGTATTTTTATAAGCAGAGCAATTTTTTATGTCTTACCAGATAGGGCTGCAGGGAAGGAGGGGCCTACCGAAGAGAGGGTGTGGGGGCCTCTCCCGAGACACCCCTTGCCCAGGCAGGCGGCCCCTCCAGAGGGCTGCGCCTTCGGAAGGGCTCCTTCCCACTTCAAGCACTGAGTTGCTATGGGGAGAAACTGGGACCCCTTCTCTGCTCTCCTTGGAGGCCTTGCTCCTCGGAAGGGGGCGCCGTGTAAGCTGTCACTTTATGGACTGTCTGTGCAATTATGTCCACCAAAGCCTGTGTGTGGGTTCAGCTAGAGACCCTGGGGGTCCTTGAGCGTTTCTGGCTCACTTTATGTCACCCGCTTCTCCCCTGTTGGGGCTAAGGAGGGAGGTATGCAGCCCCTAAGAGGGGAGGCTCCCTTGTCTCCCACCACTCCCCTTTGGCACAGCTGCTCCTGGCCGGGGGTGAGGCCTTGAGGGCATGGGCTGGACACTTGCCAGTCACTGCCCCAGCCCATCCAGGCTGTGCCTTTGACTTTGAAATAAAAGTCTACCCAATGCTTTGTGTGGCATCTGTGTGTTTGGGGTTGTAGTGTGGGTATCTGGGGCAGAGGGGCTGCTAGCCAGTGGAGTCTGGGACCTCAGAGAGGAGGGACTGGCAGACCCTTCCCTTCAGGGACAAGAAGGTATCTTTGTCCTGGATTTTAAAAAATTCTAACTTCTTTCAGATAGTGTCTTGCTATGTAGTCTTCAATTCACTGTGCCAGCTCAGGATGGCCTCGAACTCCCTGTGATCCTCTTGCCACAATTTCCTGAGTATTGGGACCACACATGTGTGCTGCCCTGTCCCACTAGTCTTATTTATTTTTTTTTTTTTGAGGCAGGGTCTCACTATGTAGTTGAGACTGCCATGGAACTCACTATGTAGCCCAGGTTGGTCTCAAACTCAGAGCGATCCTCCTGCCTCAACCTCCTGAGGGCTGGTTCTACCGGCTAGTCTTTGGTTTTAGACGTGAGCCATAGAAGAGCCAAAGTCTCTCTCTCTCTTTTTTTTTTTTTTTTTTTTTTGCCAGGGATCAAACTCGGGTCCTTGTGCTTGCAGGGCAGGCGCCGGAACCACTGAGCTAAATCCCTGGCCCAAAGTCTCTTTTTTTTTTGAGACAGGGACTCACTATGCAGTTGAGACTGACCTGGAACTCACTATGTAGCTCAGGCTGGCCTTGAACTCACAGCGACCCTCCTGCCTCAGCCTCCTGAGTGCTGGGATTACAGGCGTGTGCCACCATGCCTGGCTACCAAAGTCTCATCTTGTGTATGTAATCTGGACAGCTCTGCCACGTATCATTTAGGAGTCTCTTGGTTGTTGTTGAAAACCTAACTAAACTCACTTAAGAAAAACACAGGATTTCTTTTAAATGCTTTTGTAAATTACACAGTGCAGTGGTAGCTTCAGGTAAGAGCTGATCTGGATTTAAACACAATCTCACCTCTTTATTCTGTTTTCTTCCTGATGTTCCAATCTGAAAGACTCTTTTATAGCCCCAAAATGTGTGCCGGCTACTTCAGAGTCTACAGATTGAAAATCTGGTGGTAGAGTATTTGTTGAAGATGCTGTCACTAGATTTCAAGGCCAGTATTCCAAGGGAAGTCTTGAGCTGTACTCTAATTGGATCCACTAAGGTCCTGTACTCGCCATGAACCAATCCTGAGGCCGGGGATGCCACATGCTGATTGGCTTAGATCTGGCTCATGGACTTCCCCTGTGGAAACTCACTGAGTGGAGAGCAAGGGAAGGGGTGGGTCCAGGGGAGCTCAGGGGCGCCAGGCTTGCTTCATAGGCCCTCACTGGGTCGGAGCAGAGCAGCATGGCCTGAGAAGGAAGTGTTTAAGGCTCCTCTCTGTGTGATGCTTGCTGGGTCCTTGTGTCTAAGGGGTAGTTGTGGCCTAAGCACTTTCGCGGGCCCCCCAGATTGGGGCCTTTGTCCATTTAATGAGGGTGGCCTGGACAGCACTTTGAGGTGCCTCCCCATGAGCCTCTCCCCATAGCTGGCCTTTAGGACCATCTCCTTGTGGACGGTCCCCTTCCCAGCCAAGGCTTAGGTCTTAGAGGGCTGAGATACCTGGAGGCCTGGGGATTTGAGCTGGGGTGGGGCCCAGAGGTACTAAAGTCTGGGTAAGGGCAGGTGTCAGCTTGGTGGACAGCTAGGGCCAGTGGAGTGGATCACGGGCAGTTGGGCCATACGGGAGCGCCCAGCTGTGTTCCATCTTAGTGGTCTGAGAAGGCTGGGAGGACCCTGGCTTCCCAGAGAGGGGCAGAGGGGAGAGCGTCTCTAATTCGGAACCTTGCAGCCCCAACCCTGGCTCTTTACAGCAAGTCACCAGATAACCCAGACTTTTCTGTATGTCCAGAGGAGAAAGTCAAGAATCAACAGCTCTAAGAGTGTGGTCATCCAACCCTTAAACACTTACTGAGATTTACTGAAGTCTTTCTACAGTCAGGGCCCTCTTGAGTGCTCTTCATGGGAATCTCAATTAAGGACAGGAAAGTGTTCCATTTCACCCCATGTTCCTGCTTCGACTGTTACCATTAAAAAGTCTTTGCACATTTGATGGATTAAACATTTTCTCTCATCTTCAATTTTTCCACCTCTCATGACCTGTGACTGACAACCTCTCTATGAAAGAGGTGTCCTCAGCCTTGTTTTGCGGGTGAAGGAACTGGGGCTCAGAGGCCAGAGACGGGAGATGAGGGGTGCAGAGGAAAGAGCTGGCTTTGATCTGAATCCTGCCTCTGCTTTGTGTGGCCAGGGAGCCTGCAGGTGGGTGACAGGTGGGACTGGGCTGCAGGTGGCCTAGTGTGAACTAGCAGTGAGGAGAAGACAGTGTGGGCGGTAACTGGGCTCCTCCTCCTCCTCCTCCTCTGTTTCTTCCTTCCTCTTCCCATCCCCTCCTCCCGCTTTGTCAGGTGAGGCCCAGCCACCAGCTAGCAGTGGATGCCTGATTGCCCGATTGAGTATACTGCAGACATGAAAGAATGGTATAAATGAGGAATTAAGGTATACCATGTCCAAGTACAAACTTCCTTTGATGAATGTGATCATTGTGTATGTTTTATTTGTTTGTTTGTTTGTTTTTTGAGACAGGTTCTCACTATGTAGTTGAGACTGACCTGGAACTCACTATGTAGCTCAGGCTGGCCTTGAACTCACAGTGACCCTCCTGCCTCAGCCTCCTGAGTGCTGGGATTACAGGCATTGCGCCACCACACCCGGCTATTGTATATATTTAAATCGTACCAATAAAATTAATTAATTTATTTATTTATTTTGGTACTGGGGATCAAACTTGGAATCTTGCGCTTGCAAGGCAGATGGCAGTACCACTGAGCTAAATCTTCAACCCCAAAATTAATTTAAAAAAGAAAGACAAATACACAAAGAACAAGAAATAAACAATAAAAAAACGATAGTTTCTTACTCAGTGGGGCGGGAACTGATCTTAGCTCTTTCCTGGCTAAGACCATGAGCTCTGAATTAGTATTTATGATTATACAACATAGCAAGGGGTGGAAAGGCAGATGTAAGGAATAGCGGAACTAATGCACCAATGAGCCAGGCTTGTAGAAGGGGAGTAACTATGTATACTTGTAAAGGACACTCAGTCGTAGTTGATAAGCTACCTGTACTATCTTGCAGGTCATAGCTAACAAGCCACCTTTAGCTAACACTTGATCTTGGAGAGTGGCTGTACAGAGTCATAATTCTTCAGGTGCAGTGCCATCTTGCTATGAGAGATGTCACACTTCCATTGATCACTGAGATCCCATTGTGACCATCGGCACAGGGAAGTCTGTCTCCATACACTCGCCAAAGACTCATTTAGCAAGTCACACGTAGGTCTTGGAATGACTCAGAATTTTAATCAATAGCCAAATTATAAGCCAAATCCATAATATCTGAAAGCCTACTCAGTGCAGTTTCAAGCTGGACTCCTGCACCCCTCCTTCTTCACATTGGGATGGAACCCAGGGCCTCATGTACGCTAGGCAAGTGCTTTAGCAATGAGCTATACCCAAGCCCTGGCCTCCTGATTCTAC